TCTGCAGCAAAATGGATGGAACTGGAGGACATCATATTAAATTAAATAAGCCAGACACAGAAAGGCATATACCACATGTTCTCCCTCATAAGTGGAAGCTACAAACAGGCTGAACACAGAGTGATGATTAGTAGAGGCTGGAAGGGGTAAAGGATAGAGGGAGTTTACATAACAGGAAACAAACCAGAGTCAGATAGAAGGAATAAGTTCCCAGTGTTACACAGAGAAGTGGAAAGCCTACAGTTCATAGTGGCATAGTATATATTGTATGAACAAATAGAAGAAAGAAGCTATAATCCTCCAATCATAAGGTAATATCAAGAGGGTAATATCATTGATTACCCTCTTCTGATCACTACACATTACATACATGTATTAAAATGTCACCCTGCAGTCCAATAATTTATGAAATTATTATTAATAGAAATTCATACAAAAGGCAAAAATTATAACTCATATTTTTAACATACTTTACAACTCCATTAAGATGCTGTTAGAGATCTTAGGATTTCAGGTCTATTTTCTTGGTTAATATTATACAAATGGGGAAGTTAGTTAATACTATGTAAATAGTCCCTTATAGGGACTGGCCCAGAAGCACTCCTTATATTTTCTACCTAATTTATTCTCATGAATTGTTTTCTATGCTGCTTAGGGCATCTAACATCCTACTCTCTGGAATTCTCCTCTACTTGTTAGGTCACTCAAATACCTTCCAACTCTGCACTCAAACTGATATGGCATCAGAGAGTCAATTGTAATAGTGTTTTGTGGTTCCCTTTAATGCTGTCTTGACTCAATTTTGAGACCCTGGTAAACGGATACTCAGTTCTTCTTACTGAGGAGATGATTAAGTCTACAACTCAACCACTTCCCTTCTAGGGCTATCACACTTCAGGTCACTGTACACTCACCCGAATCACTTGATGACCAGGTATAAAACCAGAAGGGACAGTCACTATGCTCCCAAGGTTTCTGGGATTATTCAAATTATCCAACCCACATGAAGCTCGCAAAATCTATCTAACCCCTCCTCCTCAATTTACCATACCTAAACTGCCCTGTAGCTCCAGTTTGCTCTTACCTTGTGGATCTTGTTACCTTGTCAACCTCATGTGGCCAGGTCAGCTAGCCTTCTCTCATCTGGAGATGTAAGTAACAAATAGTTCTGCCTTTCACCTGCCAGACACTCATTGTATTGTTGTCTGTATCAAAAGAATCTGTAAATCCTATAAAACAGTTGAATGCTTCCAGTAATGAATGTGTATTTACTATTGTCAAAAGTTTTTGCTGCTTTAATCCAGATGATTGTGTGATATTCTCTTTCATCTTGTCAGTGTGGTACATTGCATTGATTGATACGTGTTGAGCTCTCTTATTGCACTCCAAGAAGAAATTCCACTTGATTATGGTGAAGTCATCTTTTAATATGTTACTGAATTTGTTCTGATAATATTTTTACTGAATATATTTACATAAGGTATGTTACCCCTAGTTTTCTTTTTTTGTAATGAGTTTGACTTTGATGTTACAGAGATGCTAGCCTTATCCAGTGATTTGGAAGTATTTCTTCCTCCTCAATATTTTGGAAAACCCTGAGAAGGATTGGTGTTAATTCTTCAATAATTTGGAGGAATTTGTCAATGAATACTTTTGGTCTAAGGATTCTTTTTTTTCATTTTTGGAGTGTCTTTATTACTGATTTAATTTCCTTATTAGTTGTAGGTCTATTCATATTTTCTATTGCTTCATTATTCAGCCTGGGTAGGTTGTGTGTTTATGGCAACTTGACTACTTCATCCAGGTTGTCCAATTTACCGGCATATGATTGTTTATAATCTCATAATCCTTTTCATTTTTATGAACTCAGTAAATAATGTCCCTGTTTCCCTGGTTTTAATAACTTCAGTTATCTCTTTTCTTAGTCGTTCTAGCTAAGGGTCTATCAATTTTGTTGATGTTTTAAAAACAACCTTTGGTTTCACTGATTTTCTCTGTTGTTTTCTTACACTGTTTCATTTATCTTCACTCTAATCTTTAGCGTTTCCTCCTTTTTGCTTCCTTATTCCTTGGGGTTTAGTTTACTCTTCCTTTTTTCAGTCCCAAGGTATAAACCTAGGTTGTTGATTTGAGGTTTATTTCTTCTTCCTTAATATAATTATTTAAAGCTATAGATTCACCTTTGACCTCTGTCATTTAAAAGTATTTTGTTTAATTATCCACATAATTGTGTATTCTTTAGTTTTTCTTCTGTTGCTTATTTATAGTTCTTTTCTATTGTGATTAGGAAAGACACTTTGTATGTTTACAATCTTCTTGAGTTTATTAACACTTGTTTGTGGCTTACCCTACTGTCTAACTCAGAAAACATTCCTGTACACTTGAGAAAAATATATTCTTTTTTATTCTGAGTGTTCTGTATATTAGGTCCAATTGGATCAGAGTACTGTTCAAATCTATTAATTCCTTATTGGTCTTGTAGTTGATTTTTCTATCCATTATACAAAGTGAGTATTAAAATCTCCAATTATTATCATGTAACTGTCTAACTCCTTTCAATCTGTCAACATTTGTTTCACGTGTTTTAGAGCTCTCATGTTTAGTACATGTACTCAACTATTTACAATTGGTGTACTGACACTTTTATCAACATATACTATCCTTCTTTGCCTCTTGTAGTAATTTTTGACTTAAAGTCAATTTAGAATGGTATTAGTATAGCCATCCCAACTTCCTTCTTGTTACCATTTACATGCAATATATATTTTTTATTCTTTCACTGTGTATTTGTTTCTCTAGATCTAAAGTGAATCAGCAATTGGATCATTCTCTGTCACTCATTCTACCAATCTATCCCTTTTCTTTGGGTAATTGGATGCATCTTTATTTAAAGTAAGTACTGATAAGAAATGATATTACTTTTGTCATTGTGCTATTTACTTTCTGTATGTCTTTAAAATTTGTATCCCTCATTTCTTCTATTATTGCACTCTTTTGTGTTTAGTTGTAACACATTTTATCCCTTTCCATTTCCGTTTGTGCATATGTTATAGGTAATTTCTTTGTGACTATCATGGAAATTACATGTAACATTTTGAAGACATATCGATTAAATTTGAATTAGTACAAATTTAACTCTAATTGTATATAAAACTGAACTCCTATGTGTTTAAATTCTTACCACTTTGTATTTTTGATATCCCAAATTACATCTTTGTATGTTGTGTACTCACTAGCATACATTATAATTATTTTAGTGCATTTTTATTTTAAATTTCAGAGAAAAATGTGAAGTTACAAACCAAAAGTACAATAGTACTGGTTTTAATATATATGTGTGTATTTTAAATATTTATTTGTTTATTTTTACGTGAAAAGCAGAGGGGCGGAGATAGATGGAGATCTCTTGGTTCATTCCCCTAATGCCTTCAAAGGCTGGGACTGGGCTGGACCAAAATCAGGAGCCAGGATTTCAATCTGGATCTCCCACGTGGGTAGTAGGGAACCAACTAATTGAGCCATCCATCACCTGCTGCCTCTCAGAGTGTGCATCCACAGGAAGCTGGAATTAGGAGAGGAGCTTGAATTCAGGCACTCTAGTATGGAATGCAGGCACACTGAGCTGTATATTAACTGCTAAGCCAAATGCCCACTCATAGCTTTTATATTTAACCACACATTTATGTTCATTGGAGATCTCTGTAGTGCTCTTTAATTTCAATCTGAAGGACTCCCTTTAGCAATTTTTTCCAGACTAGGTCTAGCCTTCAAGATTTGTGCTGACACCTCCACTAGGCATTTCACTGAGGATGTCTTGGATATATTGAGTCATTTCTCAGTTGCTGCTTTCAAGATTCTTTGTCTTTGCCTTTAATTTTTCTTGCAAAGTTTCACAATATTGGTTTCTTTGTGTTTATTATAGTTGAAATTTATTGCACTTCCTGGATTTGTAGATTTAGTTATTTCATCTAATTTGAGACATTTGAATCAATATTTCTTTAAATAGCCTCTCTCTCTCTCTCTCTCTCTCTCTCTCTCTCCTGGAGTTCCCATAATATATATATTGATCTGCTTGATGGTGTTGTATAAGGTCCTTAGGCTCTGTTCACTTTTCTTTGTTCTTTTCTCTTTGCTTTTCAGCTTTCCAAATTTTATAGTCTTAACTTCACTGTTTCTTTCTTCTGCCCATTTAAATAAGCTGTTAAACTACTCTAGTGAATTTTTCAATTCAACTCTTGTATTTTTCAGCTTCATAATTTCTGTTTGATTGTTTTAAACAAGCTAATATTCCCCTTTTGTTCACTTAGTGTTCTCATGATTTCCTTTAGGTATTTGCGTTTTCCTTTAGGTAACTGAGCATATATAAGGCAAGTATTTTAATTCTTTGTTTACTAAGTCAAATTTATAAACCCTAAATGTCAGTTTCTGTAAATATGCATTATTCCTTTGAATGGGCCATTTTTCCAGTTTCCTTGTATGGTTATGATTTTTTTTAATTGGGCGTTTGAAAAAATGTCTATTGCCCATTGTCCCAGTCTCTGTAAGCAAGGTCTATACTGGAACGGTTCTTCACTTAATTGATGGGGCTTGTTTTGAATCTTTTCACCAGCCTGAGAACAAGGCTTAGGATTCTCTTAGACTTTTCCTAAAAACGTTTCTAGTCTAAATTTGTATGTGGCTTTCTCAGTTTCCCCAGATGCATGGCTGCTTTTGAATATCTTAACTTTCCACAGTATATCATTACAGCTTCTCTCCAGGGTCTTAGATGTTCAAGTGTCCTTACCCATAATCTCTTGCCTCCAATATCTGGGTCTTCAGTCCCCCTGTACCTTTCACAACCTATCGCTGTTGCTCCTCCTATAACCCAGGACCCAAGTTACATGAACCAGAGACCAATCCTTAAGGCAGGCAAGAGAAAGAATAGAACATTGCAAATAAACTCTACTTCTCAACCTCCAGTTCAAAGAATTTAACTAAACCTGGGCTGTTCCTTCTTCCAGACCAAGATCATGTTGAATCAAGGAGGGAATGGGACAGGGACAAACAAAAATGACATGAAATTTTCTATTATTTAAGGTAATTTTTAAGTGATAGCATCTAAAATTTTTATTTGTTTATTTTCACTTTATTTGAAATACAGAGATAGAGATAGAGATAATAGAGATAGATAGAGGTGAAGAGAAAGGGGGGGGCATTATGATACTGCAGGTTAAGTGGCCACTTGGGATGCCAGCATCTCATATCAGAATGTGGATACAAGTGTCATGTGCTCCACTTCTGATCCAGCATCCTGCTAATGTATCTGAGAAGGCAGAGGAAGATGGTCCAAGTACTTGGGCCCCTGCCACTCATGTTGGAAACCAGAATGGAGTTCCTGGTTCCTGACTTCAACTTAGCCCAGACCTGGGGTGTGAACCAATGAATGGAATGTCACTTTCTCTTCCTCTCTCCCCCTTTCTCTCCACCACTCTGTCTTTCAAATAAATGAATATGTAAATAAATCTTAAGAGAGAGGAAGAGACAGAACGAGACAGAGAGACAGACAAAGATCTTCCATCTGCTGATTCACTCCTCAAATGCCTGCAATAGCCAGGGCTGGGCCAGGACAAAGGCAGGATACTGTAAGTTAATCTGGGTCTCCCGTTTGGGTGGCAGGAGCAACCAAATAGTTGAAGAATCATCTGTTGTCTCCTGGTGCACATTAGCAGGAAGCTGGATTAGAAGTGGAAGAGCTGGGACTCAAGCCAGGCACCCTGATATGGATGTGAGCATTTTAAGTAGTGACTATTAAGTATATATATATTGGCACTGTATCCAATGCCAATCCTCAGGTGAATTTTTATTCATTAAATGTTTACTTAGTTATTGGAGAGTCTTTTCCATTCCAATGGTCTGTTTTTATGTAAATATCATACTTGTTTGATTATTTTAGGTTTGTGATATATTTTGAAGTCAGGAAGTGTACCTTGGACTTTATTCTTCTTGCTTAATACTGCTTTGACTATTTGGAATATTCTATGGCTCCATATAGATGGTAAGACTTTATTTAACCTCTGTAAAAAAATACCATTGGAATTTTGATTGGGGTTAGATTGAATCTGAGGATAATTTTGTGTCACATGAATATTTTAAAATATTAATTCTTTCAATCTATGAACCTATCATTTGTTTCAATTTATTTTTACCTGCTTTCATCAGTGTTTTATATTTTTCAATGTACAAGTGTTTCACCTCTTTAGTTAAGTTCATTCTCAAGTATTTTATTCTTTTTGGCACTATTGTCTTTACCATAGCCAAGAAATGGAAGCAACCTACATGTCCATTAATGGTTGTATGGACAAAGCAAATGTGTTATATACACACAATGGAATATTGGTCAACCTTATAATAAAAATAAAGATAATTCCACCATTTGTGACAGCATGGGTGAACCTGAAGGACATTATGCTGAATGAAATAAGCCATCTATGGAAGGACAGATGACACCATTTCTATGATGAATCTAGAGCAGTCAAACTCATGGAAGCAGAGAGTGGAATGGTGGTTATCAGGGACTGAGAGAAGTCCCTAGACTAGAGAAGTATTGTTCAAAGGATGGAAAGTTGGGGTTATAGAAGATGAATACATCCTAAAGGTCTACTCCATGGCATAGTGTCTATAGTTAACAGTATGTATTTTATATTTGAAGATGTGTTAAGAGGGTAGATTTTATGTTAAATGTTACTATAAACAAAAGGAGTAAAGAAGGTGGGAGAAATCTTTTGGAGGTGATGAATAGATGTATGGCATAGGTTGTTGCAATGATTTCATGAGTATATACTTGCCTTCAGGCACTTCAGGTGATAAATGTTAAATCCATATACCTTTTCATAAGTCAATCATATTTTAACAAGGTGGTTTTTAAAAAAGAAAAAAGTCAAGCTCATTTCATGAAAGAAAAAAGATATCACTACTTTTCAATTACTTTGTAAAATTACAAAAACATAATAAAAATTAAAATTCATATCAAATCACAAGCTCTGTGTGGCAAACATTGGCTTCATTTGCAGACAGGGAAGTTCAAGGTCAATCCTGTCCAGTTGGTATGAGTGAGGATAGGGGAAGGACATAGTGTTACTTCCTTTCTTGTTAAAGTTCTTGCTGCCTTCTTGAACTAGCTGAAGTTCTGTGAGTAGAAATAGAAGTGACACTGCCAAGAGGAAATGTATCTTTAGAGAAGGGGTTCAAAAAGAAAATAAATTTTAAACTATATAGAGATCAAGACCATGCCCTTTCTGAATGGTGACTGGGAAGGGGGAACCATGGACACAGTTCACAATGACTGATGTTCTGGGGAAATTTTAGTTGTTGATATAGGTCTTTAATACACTCATCACATTAAATAGACATGAGAATTAAGAGGAAACTTACAATTTGTGGAAAATGTAATTAATGGCTAATTTTGGTGACAAAGTTTTGAAATCGGTGTCAGGTATTGTGGTACAGCAAGTTAAGCCACCACTTGGGACATCTGCATGCCATATCTGAGTGCCTGAGTTCAAGTCCCAGCTACACTGCTTCCGATCCAGTGTCCTATGAATGCATACCCTGGGAGGCAGCAGATGATAGCTCAAATACTAAAGTCCTTGCTATCCACATGGGATAACTGGATGGAGTTTCTGGTTCCTGAGTTTGGCTGGCCCAACCCTAGCTTTTGCAGGCATTTAGAGAACCACCAGTGGATGGAGATGCTGCTCACTTACCCACTCACTGTTGTCTTCACTCCCTATAGCCTTGCCTTTTTTTTAAGATTTAGCAATTAGGGTTACACAGAGAGAGAAGGAGAGGGAGAGGGAGAGGGAGAGGAAGAGAGAGAGAGAGAGAGAGAGAGGTCTTCCATCCGCTGGTTCACTCCCCAGTTGGCCCCAATGGCCGGAGCTGTACAGATCCGAAGCCAGGAGCCAGGAGCTTCTTCTGGGTCTCCCATGTGGGTTCAGGGGCCCAGGAACTTGGGACATCTTCTACTGCTTTCCCAGGCCATAGCAAAGAGCTGGATGGGAAGTGGAGCAGCTGGGACTTGAACCACCACCCATATGAGATGCCAGCACTGCAGGTAGTGGCTTTACCTGCTATGCCACAGTGTCAGCCCCATGCATTGCCTTTTAGATAAACAATTTTTTTATTTGAAATCCATGCGGTGGAAGAATCTCCCAAAACACACTGAAAATGCATATTACAAAAAAAAAAACTGTGAAGGAATTTCAAAAAGTTTTTCATCAAAATAATTTTTTATTCCTATCCCCATCCCCCCACCCCCCCGAACTTCTGAAGTACCTTAATGTTAATGATGAAAAGGAATAGCCTCACTTTGCCTTCCTGCTAACACAGAGATATGTGGACTGGTTCAGCCAATCTCCTTGTGTCCATTAATGTTTTACTGCTGAGATTTTTTATGTACCAATTTGAATTAAACCTATACATGATATTGACTCCTTTAAATACCAAGTAGCTCATCAACTATTGAATGGATATTCATAAACTTAATTGCTCCTAAGCAATTAGTTCTGTCTTTATTTGGTCCCCACGAATGGAGGAAAGTGTAAGTGTATTGTTTGAGATTAACCTGCCTTTTCACACAGAAACACTGAGAGGAAAGTGTATGTTTGCTTCACAATTTCTATATACAGGAGTCCTACAAAAGGTTTATGGCACAAATGGAATTAAAAGATAGAGTGACAGAAGCTAAGATATGGAATCAACCCAGTTGTTCATCAACTGATGACCAGATAGAGAAATTATGGTATACACACACACACACACACACACATATGTAATGGAGCATTATTCAGACGTAAAAAAGAATGAAATCCTGTCTTTTGCAACAAAATGGATGCAACTAGAAACCATTATACTTAGTGAAATAAGCCAGTCCACCAAAGACAGATGTCTTCCCTGATCTGTGATAACTAATAGAGCACCAAAAATTATAATGTATAGAGTGAAATTGACATTTTGAGATTAAATGATTGTTTACAGCCCTTGTCTCTATTGTTGAGGAACAGAGATTTTTTTAATCTTACTACTTGTTGAACTTTTTGCTTAGTATAGGGTTAATCTTATGAGTATAAAGTAAATTGAAAATAGACATTTGTAAAAACTAAGGGAATAAGAGAGGAAAGAGGAGGAAGGGTGGGAGCATGGGTGGGAGGGAGGTTAGGGTGGGAAGTATCACTATGTTCCTAAATCCATATATATGAAATTTGTTCACCTAAAATAAAATTTAAAAAATTAAAGACCACATAGAAGAATAAAAAAGTGAGAAAAAGTGTGAATTCTCCATGAATTTTTTGAACTGTCTTTGTACTTATGAAAATGGTAAATTAGTATTTTCATCTGCTTATCACTTAGTCTTTGTAACTTGCTATTTTTTCAAGTCATTCTTCCAGGCTATTTGTATACATTATCTTATTAAATTCTCTTAAAAATGAACCCCCTCCAGTTGAAGGAGGAAAAACAGTAGAGATTGTATAAACTTTATACATTTAAGGGACTTTGGCTTACTGAATTTTATAGATCTGCTTGGAATAATCTGCCCCCCCCCCAAATTTTTATTTTATTTAAAGCAACAATATTTGCTTATTCTTCTAGAACTCTGGCAGGACTTATTGAGGACAGCTCAACTTCTTTCTGCGTAACATCAGCTAGGGTGATCCAACTGGCTCACCAATATGGCTTACTCATGTGGCTGGCAAGTTGATTCTTAGTGCTGAGTTGTAGCTGTTAGCCAGAACTTGAATTCTCTACACAGCCTTTGTACAGGCTTGGTCAGGTCTCTCATAGCACAGCAACTGAGTTCCAAAAAGAAACATCCCAGAAGCCAAGAGAGCAAATCCCAATGTGTAAGTGCTTATAAAACCTTGATGATCATAGCTGGTAATTAAAACTTGCTTCATGCTTGTTAACATTCCATTGGAAAACAACAACAACAAAATCCCATTGGCCAAAGCTAGTCATGTGGCCAACCCCAGAGTCAAGGTGGAGGAAGTACCCTGAAAGGGCTGCATACTAAAGAACTCTGGCTCATCAGAGACCAAAGTCCTATCTACCACAGAAGGTAACTGTAACACTAGTTCCATATTCAAAGATCTCACTTGGATGAAACCTTTTGAATAGTAGCTATATCTCATTGTATATCCCAATGGGTAGCAGACAATCCAGGATAACTGCGTATGGTATTATTTTACAGGTGTCACAACAAAAAAAATCAGAAAAGTCTGACATATGAGCCCAGTGACTATAGGGTGTCAGTGACAGGGCACTGTGCCCCGTGACACAAATTTATTTCTTGCTGTCAGTTTTGCCATCACTTCAGGCTGGTGACATGTGTCAGTTGTGCTGGGCTGTTTAATTACCTGCTTGCATAAAGAAGCATTAGGGTAACTTGTGGTATACTTATAGACAAATACTCTTTTAGGTTTCGTTTTCCTCATTTCTCAAACAAGGAACTTCCTTGTTTGAGATTAGTTTCGTTCTACAGTTCTTAGCAATTTTGGTTTTGCTCTTTAATGATATTGTTATAACATTATGTAACATTACATCAGCAATGAAAAAACCTGAATTTATTTCTTATAAACATATTTCTTTAACTGCTTGGGGTCATCAAAGCTAGCTGAGAACTAAACAGTAGGTTAATCCGAAGCGTCTCCAGGCATTCTTGTTAGTTCCCTAACTGCGGGAAGTTGTTAGGACTCTCATTAGCTTTGCCTACTGCCAGCTCTTTCTCTAGTGTGATCTAGAAGTGAATTTCTGCCTTGCTTATCTTACACAGCTGCAAAGATAAAGCAGTAGAAGAGAAGAGAAAGGCGTCACCAATGACGAGTGTTCTTCAGTCCTTCTGAGCACACAGGGCTCAAAGCTCACCCGTTCTCGGTTAAATGAAGCGTCCCTTTACCTAGAGATCCAGCTCCACCCACACCCTAAATCTTTGACCCTTTCACTGAAATCCAGGGGACTGTGTGGGGGCAGGGTCAGTTTTAGGAAGTGATTTAAAACACCTCATTGAAGTTGTGGTTCCCCGTTCCCCTTTTCTGCTTGGAAGACACCCAACATAAAAGCTTTTTTAAATTTTTTTTTTCAACTTTAGTTTCACTTTCGAGACTGCAGTCAACTTGCCACACAAACTTAACTGATGAAAGCTCCTGGACTGGGACTCATGGAAAAAGGAACAGCCGGCAGTCGTCAAGCAGTGAAGGTACACATTTTAACTTATGGGGCAGAATCTCTCTTGCTTAGTCATATTACTGCATACTTTGGTTTTAGCAGCCTTTTCTCTTTCTGGATATGTGCATGAAATCTAGTCCTAATTACTCAACAAGGAAAATGGAAGAAAAGGGGAATAGTATAGGTGTGGGAAAATGTATCATAACTCAGAATACAGGTAATAATCATATCTAATTAACATGATAAATATTTTATGCAGTAAAGTTAAAGATATTTGACACTGTAGAATTCTGTGAAAGCACATTAGGGAAGGTATGGAAATCATTTTGCACAGTCTTTATGAAAACAAAAATTACATCTTTGCTATAGATTTAAAACCTTGGGATCTTAAAGAATTACATCCCCTTTTCTTAGTTTGGAAAGTTGGAGAGGAGGTAGGAGCTGGCATTTTATGATAATGTGTTTGAAAAGGACAGAAAAGTTCTAGGAGTTCCTAGGAATAAGCAAATAGCTTTCTTTTACCCAATTGAACAAAACAGAGGAAGAGGTGGGAGGATCAGAAATTAGCATCAGTAATTGTGGTATACTCACGTGAACGTGGAGTCAGCTCAATGGTATTCAGCGTTTAGTAATCGAGTTCCCAGCTTTATGATGCGATTACAGGTGATATGTGTCTGCATAGAAGCACCTGTGTATTAACCTAGCAAAAATATAGCAAAGGTTACAGCCAAACTGTTCCAACCACACTGTACCATGGTCCAGCCTCTATATCCTAACAATGATGCCATATGATCTCCCATGTGGAAAAAGAAATGTAATTCTATGTATGCACCCTCCAAAAAATCCTTTCCAAAGTTCCAGCTTCATTTCTTTTTTGCTTTCTTTGCTTCTGTTAGGTATCATTCAACAGTAACTTATTCACTTTGATTTCATTCTTTAATTGTACCTTTATTTATTTATTAAAAAACATCCTAGAATAACTTCATACAGGACATATGGTTATAAATTTACTGAATTTTTGCATATTTTAAAATATGTTTTCCCTTTCAGGGTTGGGGAACCCTTTTTCTGCCAAGGGCCATTTGGATATTTATAATATCATTCATAGGCCATACAAAATGATCAACTTAAAAATTAGCCTGCCAGGCATTCTGGTAGGGCTGAAAAGCCCATGAGAGCATTTGAGACATGGAAGGCCAAGACACTGTGGCTAAAAATGTCCTACAGGAAAGAACTCTGTGGGTGAGACCCCAGTGGAAATAAGGGGCCACCAAAGAAGGAATGTACTTTTCTCTGAAGGGAGGAGAGAACTTCCACTTTGCTTATGGCTTTGTCTAGCTTCCATGGCCTAGGCAGCTCATGTCAAGAGCCTCTGGTGATCACTGATGTCAAACATAAGAATGTTAGTTGTTAAATTAACTACAGGAGTCACTGTGCACTAACTCCCCATGCAGGACCTTGATCCTCAAAGGGTTGTAATATGAGACTAAATAGTAAAACTTGATCTGAAAGAATAACTTCATTTTAGTGTAGTAAGTGGAGGATGTTCTTATGTCTCATAAGAGATAATTAAGTTTAAGTGCTCACAAAAGATGTATCATTCTTGGCTTCTTCTTTATGTTCCTAATGTTGTATTTATGAGATGCATACAAATAAAGTTTAAAAATTAGCCTGCTATAGATTTCTTGAATTTAGAGTCCCACTTACAGTTGCCTTGGCAGGGTCAGACCAAGTAATTCCAAGGATCCTAAATGCCCACCCCTATTTTAGTTGTTCAGCTGGATATGAAATTTTAGTTTCAAAAACAATTTAAGTTTTTAGAAGAAATTTGTTTATGTATTTGAAAAGCAGAGAGCAAGAGAGTGAGAGCAAGAATGAAAGAAATCTCCTATCCATTCATTCACTTCCCAAATGCCTGCAACAGCTGGAATTGGGACAGTTTGAAGCTAGGAGCCAATGGATCTCCCATGTGGGTGGCAGGGAACCAAATACCAGAGCCATCACCTACTACCTCCCTGGGTGCACAACAGCAAGAAGCTGGAATTGGGAGCAGAGCCAGGACTCCAAACTAGGCACTCTGATATGAAATGCAGGCATCCCAAGAGTGATCTTAATCTCCAGGACAAACACCTGCTTTGTCACTAAGAGTTTTGGACGTATATATCTATTGTCTTCTAATGGTTTATAATATTGATGAAAACTTTTGTATCAAACATTACCTTTTCCCTTTGGAAATAATTGATGGCATGTTCCCCTTAGACAGGTTTAAGATGTATTTTATTTTGGTTATGGTGTCTGAAATTTCCTAAGAATCTCTCTATGTATTTTCCTTTTCAATCATCCTGCTAAGCCCTTGGTGAGGCTTTCTCATTGATGAAATATGTCTTCTAGTCATGCAGGGACACACTTCATAAATGGATTAGCCCTATTCAGTCATTCTGATCTCTATCCACAGCCCTTCCACAGAGGCAAATGTCACTTAATCAAATAGAATATTACATTGGAAAGACTGTGCCTATAAGCTGATATGTAGAGGTAGTAAGTCCTTAGGGGACTGGCAAGAACAAATTGAGAGAACTCTAGGTTGACTTTTAAAGATACCTGAAAGTAAAACTAGCTTAATTATCATACCAGAGAGTACCACACTGGAAACACATCTCACCAAAATAAGCATGACTATGCATATGGGGACAAAAGTGGTTTTTCTTAAGCTAATCAAATGCCAACAGAAAACTATTTTTTCAATATTTGTTTATTTATTCAGAACCAATCATATATAAATTATGGAATTATTGTACTGATAAAGAAGAGTACCAATGACATTAAATGTTGCTCTATGCCAGACACTATAAAGCTATACTTGACTGACTCTCTTTGATTCTTGTGGCAGCCTATAGAGCAGCTCATCTATTTTAAAGATGAAGAAGGAAGGCTAAGACATAGACCAAGTTGCCCAGGGCTGGAAAGCAGAGGCAGCTGGATAGGGTGCAGGCAGTGGAATTCCAGGCTCTCTTAACTGTTGAGTTTTTCTACGTCACCCTGATTCTATAGTGACTATTTACTTATATAAGCATAAAATTATAAAATATTTTTATAATGTAAATTTAGAGGTTTTAAAGTGTTTTTAGGCTTTCCAAATTAATCTACATGAAGCACCTCATATTTAATCTTAATTTTGGGACAAGATGCTAACATTTCACATCTTTTTATTTTTATTTTTTTGACAGGCAGAGTGGACAGTGAGAGAAAGAGACAGAGAGAAAGGTCTTCCTTTGCCGTTGGTTCACCCTCCAATGGCCGCCGCGGCCGGCGCGCTGTGGCTGGCGCACTGCGCTGATCCGATGGCAGGAGCCACGTACTTCTCCTGGTCTCCCATGGGGTGCAGGGCGCAAGGACCATCCTCCACTGCCTTCCCGGGCCACAGCAGAGAGCTGGCCTGGAAGAGGGGCAACCGGGACAGAATCTGGCACCCCGACCGGGACTAGAACCTGGTGTGCCGGTGCCACAAGGTGGAGGATTAGCCTAGTAAGCCACAGCGCCGGCCACATTTCACATCTTAACAATACTTTGGTATTGTCATAGCTGGCAGGTTTGAGAAATGTCAGGATGAAGGAAGTGTGGGGAACACACTAGGGCATGTATTTCCTGTGTTGCAAGGCAGGGCATCAAGAGATTTTTGTCTAGAGTTGGCTGATCAAAAGATTGAGTTTTAGGGATTTTTAAAAAAATTTTTATTTAACGCCAGCGCCGCGGCAAAGGAAGACCTTTCTCTCTGTCTCTCTCTCTCTCTCACTGTCCACTCTGCCTGTCCAAAAATTTTTTTTTATTTATGTATTTTTACCTAGAAGCCTTTTATTTAAGATATACAAACTTTATGCATTTCATCAAAATTTAGGAACATAGTGATCATAAATATGACAATATATTAAATAAACCAAATAAAAACAAAAGTTGGCAAGAAAATGAGGGAATGGTATAATTCAGTTCCTTATCTTTGTGGAGAGAAGGAAATGCTTACAGTTAGTAAATGAAGAAGTAGAAAGGCAAACATAGTATTATGTTTATGGAGTTGACCATGAGATTTTAAAATAGAAGCTCTCAAGAGAGGCCACCTTGGCACACTGCACCTGAGGTGGAGGATGAGAAAGTTTTTCATTGTTTATCTTTCCATGCTATTTAAGTTATCTCCATTTGATGTATTATTTGTATATCATATGCTTATATAGCATAAAAGTTATGAGTAAAAAATCATTCATAATCACATTTTAGTTATATATTTTCCAAGGAATTTGTCAGTGTAGAGGAAAGTTTGTGCTATTAATGTTGTCCATTACTTTTTGATGTTTCTTTTAGGAGGCAGAATCATGAGCCAGAGTGTGCCTTATCACATCTCCTCTCTTTGGGGACTGTTGTCCCTTTGGATGCTGTGTACCTCCTCCGGCAATAAATGCACGGTGAGACAGGAAGTAGCCGACTGCAGCCATCTGAAGTTGACTCAAATACCTGATGACCTGCCCACCAACATAACAGTGTTAAATCTTACCCACAACCAGATCAAAAGATTGCCACCTGCCAATTTTACAAGGTATAGCCGGCTTACTGTCTTGGACGGAGGATTTAACACCATCTCAAAGCTGGAGCCAGAATTGTGCCAAAGCCTTCCTTTGCTGAAGGTTTTGAACCTCCAACACAATGAGCTTTCTCAGCTTTCAGATAAAACCTTTGTTTTCTGCATGAATTTGACTGAACTCCATTTAATGTCCAATTCAATCCAGAAAATTCAAAATAATCCCTTTAAAAACCAGAAGGTAAGATGAAAACTTTGTTTCCTTATAAGAAATGAAAAATATGTGATCCAATGTTAAATCTTCAAGTCACCTATTCATTCTTAGACTTAATATTTAATTATCAAGGTAAGTGTAGGAAATCCAGTCTACCCCACTTGGAGCTGGGGACTCACATACAAACAGTACTGTTAAGATTGAAAATACTTTCAAATGCAAATGTTAGTCTTAAGTCAGTTTTAAGCTTAATTTTAAATATGTCTACCTCTCCTACTTTCTCTCATTAGTAACAGAATCTAGACAAGAGGTCAAGTCATGATCAGAGAAGAATCAGAATATCCCATAAGAATTAAAAAAAAATCCTGTTTCTATGTTACTGATTTAGTATGTGAAATAACAGAAAATGTTCACTCCAAATTGTGGCTTAAAGCTAAACAAATACATTCTCTTCCTTGCAGAAATCTCAAAGTACCACTTTCCAAATAACTACCACCTTTCTCCTTTCAACTCTTTGCTTGGAGTTTAAATCTGTGAAAAATGCACATTGTTGTCTCTAAATCTAAGACAATTACTAAGTGCTCTTCTTAGACCAAAGTCATTTTTTTTTTTAATTTATTTGACAGAGTTAGAGAGAGAGACAGAGAGAAAGGTCTTCCTTCCGTTGGTTCACTTCCCTAATGGCTGCTACGGCCAGTGTGCTGCGCTGATCTGAAGCCAGGAACCGGGTGCTTCCTCCTGGTTTCCCATGCGGGTGCAGGGGCCCAAGCACTTGGGTCATCTTCCACTGCCTTCCTGGGCCACAGCAGAGAGCTGGACTGGAAGAGCAACTGGGACTAGAACCCGGCACCCATATGGGATGCCGGCACCACAGGTGGAGGATTAACCAAGTGAGCCACGGCACCGGCCCCAGACCAAAGTCATTTTCTTTTTTTTTTTTTTTTTTAACTTTTATTTAATGAATATAAATTTCCAAAGTATAGCTTATGTATTACAATGGCTCCCCCCCCATAACTTCCCTCCCACCTGCAACACTCCCCTTTCCCACTCCCTCTCCCATTCCATTCATATCAAGATTCATTTTCAATTCTCTTTATATACAGAAGATCAGTTTAGTATATATAAAGTAAAGATTTCAACAGTTTGCACCCACACAGAAACACAAAGTGAAGAATACTGTTTGAGTACTAGTGATAGCATTAAATCACAATGTACAGCACATTAAGGACAGAGATCCTACATGAGGAGTAAGTGCACAGTGACTCCTGTTGTTCACTTAACAAATTGACACTCTTGTTTATGGCATCAGTAATCACCCCAGGTTCTTGTCAGGAGTTGACAAGGCTATGGAAGCCTTTTGAGTTCACTGACTCTGATCATATTTAGAAAATTAATTGTATCGAAATGGAAGTTCTCTCCTCCCTTCAGAGAAAGGTACCTCCTTCTTTGATGACCTGTTCTTTCCACTGGGATCTCACTCATGGAGAACTTTCATTTAGGGTTTTTCTTTTTATAGTTATGTGTCCCCCAGGAGTGTCTTGGCTTTCCATGCCTGAAATACTCTCATGGGCCTTTCAGCTGGATCCACATGCCTTAAGGGCTGATTCTGAGGCCAGAGTGCTGTTTAGGACATCTGCCATTCTATGAGTCTGCTGTGTATCTCGCTTCCCATATTGGATCGGGCATTTTTTTCATGTGTCTGTTGGCCATGGATAATTGTTCCTACAAAAGTGTCAATTCGTATCCTTTGCCTATTACTTGACTTGATTTTTTGTTTTGTTATTGTTGGGTTTCTTGAGCTCCTTCTACATTCCTAATATTAATCCTTTATTATATTCATAGATTGCAGATATTTTCTCTGGTTCTCTCTGTATTCCCTTTGTTAATTGTTTCCTTTGCTGTACAGAAACTTCTTAGATTGGTCTAATCCCATTTGTCTGTTTTTGCTTTTATTGTCTATGGTTTTGGGCTCTTAAGCAATGTAATGAAGGCATTTTTCTTTGTTATTTTCTCAAAAATCTGCTAAAATGTGGATCTGCATTTTATCCAAAATTCAGTTTTTGTGTTAGGTGTGAGATGGGAATTGGAATAGACAATTTTCTTTTATTATTATAATTATTTTTATGAGCCTACCTAATTGATCATGTTCCATTTGTTGAAAAGATTGTCATTTCCCCAGCTACTTTAGCAGTGACTTTACTAAGTCAAGTGCTTCTATATTTGCTGGTTTATTTCTAGACTCTATTGCATTACATTGATCTATTTGTTTACCCTTGCACCAATAATGCTTTGCTAAATACATTTAATTAGTTATGACATCTCATAATATAAACCCTTTAGCTATGTTTTTTTTTTTAAGATTCTTTACTTTTACTCTTTTGTGGTTTCATAAAAAATTTAGATCTACTTGTTAATATAAAATATAATTTGCTGAGAATTTGATTGAGATTATGTTTTGGGAAAGTCCAATCTATAAATGCATTATATTTCCCATTCATTTCAGTATACTTTAATTTCTCTCAGTAATATTTTATAGTTATCTGTACAGAGGACTTGCATACTTTTCATTAGATTTATTCCTATATCTGACTTTTTATGGTTCTGTAAATGGTATTCTTTAAAATTTCATTTTCTAAATGTCAATTATTAGTATACAAGAAAACAATTCATTTAGGTATATTGATTCACCTTGTATCCAGGGAACTTGCTAAATTCACTTATTAATTCTATTAGATTTTGTGAGTTGTTTTGTAGTTTTTATAACACAACCATGCTTCTATGAATAATTACAGTTTTATTCTACATTTCTGCTGCATATACTTTTACTTTCTATTACTTGATTTGTTGCAATAGATAGGACCTCTAATACAGAATTGCATTAAAGCATATTTTTTGCTCTGTAGGTCTGATATTTGCCTTTTAAAAAGTTATAAATGCTATCAAGTAAATTCCTTTCAGTTCCTGAGTTTCCTGAGTTAGTACTGTTGTTCCACATGCCTTTCTGTGTGGAATTTTGGTTTTATTTTGTGTTTTTTTTTTTTTTTTAAATCATGAAAAGTAATTGTATCAAATAATTTACAAGTTCTGTTGCAATCATGGAATTTTTTTCCTTAATATGTTAACATGGTAAATTCAGTTAATGTGTTTCAATTGTTAATCCACCTCTGCATTTGTAGAATAAACCCTACTTGGTGTTGATATGTTATTCTTTTCATAAGGAATTGTATTGCATGTGTGAATATTTTCTTTAAGATGTTTCTATCTGCATTCAAAAGGAGGTCATTTTACCCTGTCTTAATGTTTTTTGTCAGGTTTTGGTTGAATAGTTATGATAGTATCATGGAATGGGTTGGAAATTATTCTCTGTTTCTCTTTGGTCGGGTTTGTATATGTGTTGTGTGTGTGTGTGTGTGTGTGTATCTGTCTGTCTAAAAGTGCTTGCCTATAAATTTATTTGAACCAAAAGATTTCTTTGAGTGGAAAGACTTTTAATGAATATTCAGTTTCCTTAAAAGATCTTGAACTATGCAGGTTTCCTATTTCATTTTGTGTCCATTTTGATAATATCTGTTTTTTTATTATTTATTTTTTTATTTAATAAATGAGAATTTACAAAGTGCAACTTTTGTATTGTTGTGCCCCTGCAACCTCCCTCCCTCCCATGGCCCTCCCCTCTCCCACTCTCTCTCCCATCCCACCCTTCATCGAGTTTCATTTTCAATTACCTTCATATACAGAAGATCAACTTAGTATACACTAAGCAAGGATTTCAACAGGCTGCACTCACACAACCGCACAAGGTATAGGGCATTGTTCGACTAGTAGTGTTGTTTTTAAGTTTCATAGTAAAACACATTAAGGACAGAGATACTATGTGGGGAGCCTGTACTCAGTGACTCCCGTTGTTGATTTAACAATTGGCACTCTTATTTATGACATCAGCAATCACCCGAGACTCTTGCTATGAGCTGTCTAGGCTATGGAAGCCCCTTGAGTTCACCGACTCTGAACTTGTTTAGTCAAGGCCATATCACAGTGGGGGTTCCTTCCTCCCTTCAGAGAAAGGCGCCTCCTTCCTTGATGGCCTGTTCCTTCTGCTGGAGTTTTGTTCATCAGGATCTTTCATTTAGATTGTTTTTTTGCCACCGTGTCATGGCTTCCCATGCCTGTGAGACTCTCATGGACCTTTTAGCCAGATCCGAATGTCCCAAGGGTTGATTCTGAGGCAGGAGTGCTGCCATTCTATGAGTCTGCTGTGTGTCCTGCTTCCCCCGCAGGATCATTCTCTCCCTTTTAATTCCATCCTTCATTGTTTGCTTACACTGGTCTTGTTTGTGAAATCTCTTCGACACTTACCCTATCTTTTTGATCGGTTGTGTATTTATATTTATCACTTTACCAAGTGCGCTGGCATTGGTACCTGCCTCCTTGGTAAGATTGAGCTGAAATCCCCTGGCACATTTCTAGTTCCACCATTGGAGGTAAGTCCGAGTGAGCATGTGCCAACCTATATATCTCCTCCCTCTCTTACTCCCACTCCTATGTTTAACAGAGATCACAAAGTCATTTTCAAGTCACTCTTTTTTTCACTTTATGGCCTTATAAAAAGTTGAGCATTGCTCATCCTCAGATGCACACATATGCTGGGAAACATGAAAGTGACTTGTCCAGCAGTTGTTTTAAGTCTCTTCTTGCACCCTCTTAGATTCTGAAATAGATGAAATGTCCTAGCCACAAAGACCTCAAATAAGGTTAAAATGATGATTGGCAAAATGTTGTTTTTCCTTAATATTCTGGGCTAGCCATGATCTAAAATTTATAGAACTATGAAACAATATAAAAACATTTAATATAGAGTAATGGATGGAAAAGTTCTACTCATGGTTTTTAAGGAAATATTTTTATTTTCTATTATTTATTTTCAAGGCTAATGCATGTCACTGGACGTTTGGCAAGCCACATGGACATTCCTTGCATCATGAATAAGTACTTATTTAAAATAAGCATAAATTAGGCCGGCGCCGCGGCTCACTAGGCTAATCCTCTGCCTAGCGGCGCCGGCACACTGGGTTCTAGTCCCGGTCGGGGCACCGGATTCTGTCCTGGTTGCCCGTCTTCCAGGCCAGCTCTCTGCTGTGGCCAGGGAGTGCAGTGGAGGATGGCCCAGGTGCTTGGGCCCTGCACCCCATGGGAGACCAGGAAAAGCACCTGGCTCCTGGCTCCTGCCATCGGATCAGCACGGTGCGCCGGCCGCAGCGCGCTGGCCGCGGCGGCCATTGGAGGGTGAACCAACGGCAAAGGAAGACCTTTCTCTCTGTCTCTCTCTCTCACTGTCCACTCTGCCTGTCAAGAAAAAAAAAAAAAGCATAAAATTTTAAAAGTTTCTTTATCAGAAATAAGTGAGCTTAAACCCTTTTATGTAGGTAAGAGAAATAAAGTGACTCTTGAAATAAGAAGCTACATCAACAGTGGTGTTTTTATTCACAACAAAGTTTATTTAATATTCCTAATATCAGTTTTCTGCAGAATAATAGTGAAGTGACGATGTGCTGTTATATATTGTTAAGATTCACTTAGAGGAACTGTATTTGATGACAAGACTCTAACATATATATTGTATATTCCTTTTTCTTCTCAGAATTTAATCAAATTAGATCTGTCTCATAATGGTTTAAAATCTACAAAACTGGGGACTCAGCTCCAGCTGCAAAATCTCCAAGAGCTTCTACTATCAAAAAACAAAATTCAGGCACTGAAAAGTGAAGAGCTTGCTTTCCTCGGCAATTCTTCTCTAAAAAAATTAGAGTTGTCATCAAATCTAATTAAAGAGGTAAGAAGCAAAGTAAAATTATTTTGTATTCTATCTTTCAGCTTGGGTAGTCCCTAAATATGTCATATAGATAAGAATCTAAAGGTTCCTATAGAAGAGAGTAAGCTTTTGTATATCCCAGAAATCCTTCACATTTACTGCCTTGGGGTATTGGTGCCACTCACAAAAAAAGTTTTGGTAACAATTAGGGATGGGACTCTGCTGTCAATCAGCAGTATGTTAAAATTGCTATGATGTAGTAGAACAGGTCTTTGACCTAGGGGAACTTACTTGTTTCAGTTTCTTCATTGAAAAATTGGAAATAGTACCCTCTGTCTCATAAAATCTCTGAAAGAATCAAAATGATATAGTGGTAAGATGACAGATTTTAGAACTGGGTTAGCTGGTTTCCTCTCTGGTCTTAATCTGTGTAACCAGATAAGTTATTCAAGTTCTCTTTGCCCCAGTCTCCATGTTTTCAACCTGGTATAATAATACCACTACTTCATAGAACACTGGGGCAAACAATTTAGCACTGTGTCTGGCATACAACAACTAACTGCTCAATAAATAACTAGCTCAATGCTATTATACAAACTTTCCTGTAATGGGGTATGCCAAATTAACCTGCTTCTCTTGGATCTATGATCTTCAATTTAACCATTTTCATGTCCAAGTATATCTGTCTTCTGCACACATTTTATTCCTTTACAGGCTATAAGAATGTTGGAAAAACTAAACATGGCTTTTTATTTTTATTTAGATATATTCATCCATTCATTCATTCATTTGTTGATTTGAAAGGCAGAGCAAAAGAGAGCAGGAGGGAGAGACACAGAAAGATCTGCCATCCTTTGGTTCATACCCCAAATAGTTGCATTAGCTAGATCTGAGCCAGGCTGAAGCCAGAAGCCAGAAACTCCATCCTGGTATCCCACATGAGTGGCAGGGGCCAAGTACTTGGACTGTCATCCATTACCTTCCCAGGTGCATTTGCAGGGAGCTAGATTGGAAGTGGAGCAGCCAGAAGGTGAGCCAGCACTTCATATAGGATGCCAATGTTGCAAAGGACAGCTTAAACCACAGTGCCAAATGGCTTGCCCTGAAACACAGCTTTTTAAAGATTGATTTAAAAATGGACCAAGTGCAACATTTACCTGAAATAATTATTGTTTTGTGCAAGCTACTTATTTTAGTTTTTTAAACAGCATTTCCCCCAATTAGAATATTTATAGTACTATTATAAGACCTAAAAATATAATGAGAGACAATAAAAATCACTCAAAAGTAATCAGAATGAGTCACTGCTAGCATTTGGGCATATGTATCCATAATTCTTCTGCAAACAATGACAAGAAAAACAACAAAAACTAAAGTCAGGCATTTAACTATGCCAAGCACTGTGACAAATTCTTTCTTTTATGTTTTAGGTAGAGAGCATCTTTGTCAATGTATTGCTATCATTTTACACGAGAGTAAGTTGAGAGGAGGAAGGGTGAAGTAACAGGTGGCCTACTGGTGACAGCTGGGCTGCTGGCAGCCCTGCACCAGAGCCCTTGCTCTCAGCAGCATGCTACATGGCCTTTCCAGGGGGATGGTGTCTCCTGCTTTTTAGAATTAGCATTAACATCATATGAACATCTTCCATGTCACGAAGAATCACTCACTTAATTTTAGTGATTGCAATATAGTACAGCACAAGGTTTATCATAATTTAATGAGTCCCTGCTTTGCATTTTAAAACTAATTTTACTTACAATAAAGCACAATTTCCTCCACATCTGTCTCTCTTGTTTTCCTTTAGCCCTATCATCTCACAGCAACACATTAGAGATCAGCTTTGCTTCCTGGATAGGTTTAACTGCCAGGAGCTGGCTACTCCCTCTCTGGGTTCCTTGTTCCCCACTCCTTTTCTTTTGTCCCAGCACCGAATCCCAGATCAGCCAAGGGCTGGGGACAGAGTGGAAGTGAGTTGGAGACACTAGTGAAATAAAGTCAGGAAAAAACCTAGGTGGAAAGACATAAAGGACAGCAGGAACTCAGTCTCAGAAGGGAAAGTGTGTGCTTCTATTCATTAAAAGCCATCATTCATTCCTTCCACCACATTCACTGAAAATAAGAGGTCAACAAGACAGAACTAGAATCTGCCCCAGTGATGACACCACAAACAATAGTTATGAATTTATGAATCATAATTCTATTCAGTGTGATGATGTAAGAGCACCAGGAGACCTAACCCAGATTGGGAGGTCAGGGAAGGCCCCAGAAGAAGTGGCATCCATGCTGAAATGTGAATGCTGAGTACAAGTGAGTCAGCGGCCAGGAGAGGTTGAGGCTGGAGCAGGAGGCAAGTGTCCCAGGCACAGAAAAGAGAGAAGTGGAGAGAAATACCCTGCCCTGGCACTGTGGTGAAATGGGAAGGAGACTGAATAAAAACCCTGCTTGGGATGCCTGCATCCCATATTGGAGAGCTTGTTCCCAATTCCAACTTCTGGCTAATGGGCATCGTTGGATGCAGCAGGTGACGCCTCAAGAACTTGGGTCCCTGTCACCTACATGAGAGACCCAGATCATACTTCAGGCTCTTGCCTTCAGCCTGGCCCAGCCCTGGCTGCTTTGGGCACTTGAGGAGTGAACCAGCAGCTCTCTCTCTCTGTCTCTAAGCCTTTCAGATAAAATGAAAATAAATAAATAAAATTTAAAAAAAATCATTGTATTTAAGCTTTCCAAAGGTCACACAGAGTCTATATTCTATTTTGGTTATTAACTACTTTCCCCCCCTTACCTTTAGTTTTCTCCAGGGTGTTTCCATGCAATTGGACAATTATTTGGCCTCTTTCTGAACAATGCCCAACTTGGCCCAAGTCTCATAGAGAAGCTTTGTTTGGAGTTATCAAACACTAGCATTCAGAATCTGTCTCTGAGTAACAGCCAGCTGAACAGAATCAGCAATAGGACTTTGCTTGGACTGAAGCACACCAACCTCACCATGCTCGACCTTTCCCACAATAACTTGAATATGATCGATGATGATTCCTTTGTTTGGCTTCCACATCTCAAATATCTCTTCCTGGAGTATAATAACATAGTGCATTTGTCTAATCACTCATTTTATGGACTTTTCAATGTGAGACACCTTAATTTGAAACGATCTTTTCCTAAACAAAGTGTGTCCCTCACTTCACTTCCCAAGATTGATGATTTTTCCTTTCAGTGGCTAAGATGCTTGGAGTACCTTAACATGGAAGATAATGATATTCCAAGCATAAAAAGAAATATGTTCACAGGATTGATAAACTTGAGATACTTAAGTCTATCCAACTCCTTCACAAATTTGAGAACTTTAAAAAATGAAACATTTTCATCACTAGCTCATTCCCCCTTACTCATACTCAACCTGACCAAAAATAAAATCTCAAAAATAGAGAGTGATGCGTTCTCCTGGTTGGGCTCCCTAGAGGTGCTTGACATTGGAATTAATGAAATTGGGCAAGAACTCACAGGACAGGAATGGAGAGGTCTAGAAAATATTTTTGAAATCTACCTTTCCTACAACAAATACCTACAACTCACTAGCAACTCCTTTGCCCTGGTCCCAAGCCTTCAAAGACTGATGCTCCGAAGGGTGGCTCTTAAAAATGTGGATATCTCCCCTTCACCTTTCCACCCTCTTCATGACTTGACCATTCTGGATTTAAGCAACAACAACCTAGCCAACATAAATGAAGAAATGCTAGAGGGCCTTGAAAAGCTAGAAGTTTTGGATTTGCAGCACAACAATTTGGCACGACTCTGGAAACAAGCAAACCCCGGTGGTCCTGTCCATTTCCTCAAGGGTCTTTCCCACCTTCACACCCTTAACTTAGAGTCTAATGGCTTGGATGAGATCCCAGAAGGAGTTTTCAAGAATTTATTTCAACTAAAAAGCATCAACTTAGCCTTGAATAATTTAAATGTACTTCCACAATCTGTCTTTGATGACCAGGTATCTCTGAAGTCATTGAACCTTCAAAAGAATCTCATAACATCAGTTGAAAAGAAAGTTTTTGGGCCAGTTTTCAAGAATCTGAGTAATTTAGATATGAGCTTTAACCCATTTGACTGTACATGTGAAAGTATTGCCTGGTTTGTTAATTGGATTAATAAGACACGTACCAACATCTCTGAGTTATCAAGTCATTACCTCTGCAATACTCCACCTCAGTATCATGGGTTCTCAGTGAGGCTTTTTGATACATCATCCTGCAAAGACAGTGCACCCTTTGAACTCCTTTTCATGATCAATACCAGTTTCCTGTTATTGTTTATCTTTATTGTGCTGCTCATCCATTTTGAGGGCTGGAGGATATCTTTTTATTGGAATGTTTCAGTACATCGAATTCTCGGTTTCAAAGAAATAGATGGCCAGCCAGAGCAGTTTGAATACACAGCATATATAATTCATGCATACAAAGATAGGGACTGGGTCTGGGAACACTTTTCCTCAATGGAGGAAGAAGATCCATCTATCAAATTTTGTCTAGAAGAAAGGGACTTTCAGGCAGGTGTCCTTGGACTTGAAGCCATTGTCAATAGCATCAAAAGGAGCAGGAAAATTATTTTTGTTATAACACAGCATCTTCTAAAGGACCCATTATGCAAAAGGTAGGTTAATGTGAAATTTTAAGAATGTATGTGCTTTTTAAAGATTTTATTTATTTATTTGAGAGGTAGAATTACAGAGAGAGGGAGAGACAGAGAAGAAAGGCCTTCCATCTGCTGGTTCACTCCCCAGATGGCCGCAACAGCCAATGCTGAGCTGATCCAAAGCCATGAGTCAGGACCTTATACTGGGTCTCCCACATGGGTGCGGGGGCCCAAGCACTTGGGCCATATTCTACTGCTTTCCCAGGCCACAGCAGAGAGCTGGATCAGAAAAGGAGCAGTTGACAGCCATATGGGATGTTGGTGCCACAGGCAGAGGCTTAGCCTACTATGCCACAGCACCAGCTCCAGAATGTATGTGGCTTTCAGTTGGACTTTCAGTATTACTAACATCATTAGTCATAACTGAAAAATACTTTTAAGTAATATTGAGGAAAATACATAACCTGAATTTTTAGTGAGGGATTAAATTTTTAGAAGGTTGAACTTTTAGTTGTTAAAAAAACACTGTTTATTACATAACTTCATTTAACATGTTTTTTTTTTTTTTAACTTAGATTCAAGGTACACCATGCAGTTCAGCAAGCTATCGAACAAAACTTGGATTCAATTATATTGATTTTTCTAGAGAATATTCCAGATTATAAACTGAACCACGCACTCTGTTTACGAAGAGGAATGTTTAAATCTCGTTGCATTTTCTATTGGCCAGTTCATAAAGAACGGATAGAGGCTTTTCATCATAAATTGCAAGTAGCACTTGGATCTAGAAATTCACTACATTAAATGAGAAAAGAAATAACTTTCGCAATTTAGAAAGTTCCATGGAAAACTTAAGTTTCACTTGAAAATAATATAATCTGTAGATGACAATAGGTGACGGGATTCTATCATAATTACATCTCATCTATGGAAATGTATCTCTGTAGACACACTTTCAGGAGTCTTGTTGATGGATTAATTGACCCATAGTAAACATATTAGTGTATAAGAACATTTTCTACTAATGAATATATAAATGGTCAGAGAGTCTTGTGATAAATGAGTTTCAGAGTATTCTTCATTGAAAAAAAAGTTAGAAAAAAGAAAGAAAGAAAAGTTAGTGTTATGTAAGGGTTCATGATAATCGTTTTTGGATGCAGTTACAATTGAATGAAAGGTACTTGTTTTAATGGGTATGATGTTACTTAAATTATAAAAGAATGAAATACAAAGGTGACTCAAAAAGTTCATGGAAAAGGAAATAAAAATACTGTACAGGTTCCACAAATCTTTTGAAGATCCTTTTGTTTATATTTACATTTTTAAAAGCTTAATTACAATAGTTTTTCAACTGAAAAGGGTTGTATTTTAGTAGTGCCTGTCCAGTGTTAATTCTATTAAATGCTTAAATAGCTTTTTAATATACACACTGTAGGGCAGAAAAAAAATTGCAATACATTTTGATTCATTAATGAAGTAAATATTTTAATAAATACTTGTGTTATTATGATATTTAAGTTTCTTCTACAGGGGGTAGAAACAATTCTTTTACTTAAAAGAAAGATTTGCTTCCTGAAGGTTATCAGTAGAATGGCTTTCTGGAAACAAGAATCTTCCTTCCCTGATCACTGACTTGGGAGGTGGAATTGACCACATCATTTGGTCCCACTGAGATTCTTTTACTCCAGATCTATGTTGTTAGTGACCAGGATTATGGTATAATAGATTCATGTGTAATATATTATTGTGCCATAAAAGAGTATGCTATGTGAAGTTAACCCTTATTTAGGAAGACAATTATTTTGTTTTTGGAGTCTAACTATTGAAAACAAACAGGACTAGCTTTTTGAATGTAGAGTTAATTTCTATACTTGCAGTACTCATTTGCATAGTTTAGGGGGCATTTGAGGTGTTACATTATTTTGAAACTTGATTTAAATGAATTTTTATTCTCAGGGTTAAGTGCATACAACCCTGAGATAAGTAACATTCACTGTCGTGCTGATTCTGAAAAAGTGAATGTGAATACATGGGGGACTCATTGTCACTTTCACATTGTTTGCCATCCTTACATCTGAGACATTTATGTTCACAGCATTTTAGGTAAGATTTACTTTTTAACTGTGAAATGTAACTGTAAAATTCATAACTACTTCGTTCTTGATACGACTTGCGTGTTGTTTATCAATGTTCTCAAGTTTTCATTAAAATTTGTTAAAATAACCTAACTATTGTTAATCAAAATATCATCAGAGTGTAAAATAAAAGGTAGAAAATAACTTCGTTTTATTCTCATGTTTATTTTCTTGTGCAATAGCTGATCAAATGGCCACAATTTATACTGAGTCCAAATATAATTTTTAGGGCTGGTGCCTGCGGCGCCAGCACTCCTGGTTCTAGTCCCAGTTAGGGTGCTGGCTTCTGTCCCAGTTGCTCCTCTTCCTGTCCAGCTCTCTGCTGTGGCCCGGGAAGGCAGTGGAGGATGGCCCAAGTGCTTGGGCCCTGCACCCGCATGGGAGACCAGGAGGAAGCACCTGGCACCTGGCTTTGGATCCGCTCAGTGCACCAGCTGCAGCGCACCGGCCGTAGTGGCCATTTGAAGGGTGAACCAACAGAAAAGGAAGACCTTTCTCTCTGTCTCTCTCTCTCTCTCACTGTCTAACTCTGCCTTTCAAAAAAAATCAATAAATCAATCAATAAAAAATAAAACAAATATAAACAAATATAATTTTTAAAGAGTTGGTTAATATGTTAAGAGATTACGATTCACTAGGAATGACTTTTTTAAATGAATACAAGTAACATTAATAATAGGTGCAAATGCTGACTTGTTGTTGACCTTCATAGGAAACAACATCCTGAACTTTTGTAGGCTGTCCTTTATAATTGTTCTCAGGAGGAGTTCTCTCCCCTTGGGTGCAAGACAAGAGGATTGCAGAAAAGGATGTTTGTCTGATGTCCTATTTAATTTCCACAAGCAACTTGCCAACTTTGAGTACTCTCAGGGTGCCATCACGGAATCTGTTCACTCCAGCTCCTTCCTGTTTTTTGCCTTGCAAAACAAAGCCCAATTGAATCAGTACTGAGTTTAAAATAGATCTCAGTATTTATATTGGACCTAAAATGATATCTTTTAGGTTGTAGTAAAAAGTAGATGCGAATCATTTTGTTAATAAGGAAGGGTGTTTTCAATGCCATTTTTTAATAACCTCAAACTACTCAAACATGTACCTTGGATTATTTGTAAAAGGAACTCAACAGTAAGTGATGGTCAACATTAGAATATGTAAAGATGCTTCAAAATCCAGGACTTAAAAAGTATCTCTTGCCCTCTACAGAGAAGAAAGCAGATTAGTGGTTGTCTGGGCCTAGGGGTCGAAGAGGAGTGACCCCAAAAAGGTAGAAGAGATATTTTTAGGGTGATGAAAAAATTCTGCCTCTAGGCCATCCTAAGAAATCTCTTCACATTTTTGCCTATAGAGTCAACATGAAAATGGAGTGAGTGTGGCTAAAAACTAATTGTAGATCTCTTACTTCTGTACATACGAGCTTTACTTGCTAATGGCTAAGGGTGTATCTTGTGAAACTATGCTGGCCCAAATTCCAAGGAACTGAGAATTCCAAGGAATTGAGAAAGGACACAACCCAAGTGTTCTGCCTAAGTTGACAGAAATGTGCCCTGTACCTGTTATCTTACAACCATACCTTGGGTTTGTTATTGTTCCTGGGTTAGTTATTGTTAACTGTTATCTTACAACCATACTTTGGGTTTTTTATTGTTCACTGCATACCAGGTTCAGTTTGAAATTGTGAGCCTTAGTGGACAGAATACTATAAAAAGCTGTGTAACTCGCTGTTGGGGGCCGCACTCTGGTAAGGAGTGTCGGTCCTGATCGGTTGCCTTGCCTCTCATTTTCAATAAAGTTCATGTGACTGTCACTGGTTTTTGTAATATTCTATTTTAGCTGAGTGCACACAACATGCCCACCTGAGACCTCACACTTTGTTCTTCATTGCCTTCTCTACCACCTTTATATCCTTTTTCTAAGCTCCAACTAAACAACACTGCTGCTGCCACACTACTCCATAGCCAATATCTCAGCGGCACCTTCTACCTCTTGCTTCAGGCACTGGATGCAGCTGCTCTTGACTTCAGGATGAGCCAGAATGTGAGGAAGTGAATCAATGGGAAAGGAAAGGAGGGGCCATGAAAATACTATAGTAGTAGAAGGCATATCTTCAGAGCTTTGTTCTGTTTTTTTTTTTTTTTTTTGTTTTAGGTAGGATGAGATAGTGGAAGATAGTGGAACCATTTGGGAAAAGGGTGAGGTTCTGAACACATATTGAAATGAACAAAGTTCAAATTACAAAGGGTAACATGTAAGGTCCTTCACCACTGTGCCAGGTTTATCTCCCTAGCTTGATTTTTTTGAAACCACCCTCCCATGCTTAGTACCACCCTGATGTGGTTGGAGTGAGACTCCCAAAATTTCATGTGTTGTGGCAGTGGACATAGGAAGCAAATAGACACATTGGATTTTGTGGGAATATACTCTTACCATCAGGAAATTTCATATCCATTGGTTTTGCTTCTCAGAGAGAAAATAGACAACAGGGACTCAGGCTGCTCCGGGACCTCCTCTGATCTCCCCCAGCTCTGCAGTACCTATTCCAAATACAAGCTAGTGCTGCATGAAGCAACAGCACTGACCTGCTTAATCCTTAGCTTGAATTCTACGGTTTTTCATGAACTTGCTCTGTTTTTCCTATAATTCAAGTCCAGTCTTTCCCTCATAGGTATGCATAGTGCCTGAAACACAGTACTTTGGCACAAAACATTTGCTGTTTGTGAGTAAAGGATTAAGTGGATGAACACACTCTAAGTGCAGTCATTCAGGAGGATTTGCAGTTCTGAAGCAGGCAGGCATACAGGTTAAATTGATTAGCTTTGTGAGCTGGAAGACCACGCCTTCACCACACCCCTGTGTGACCTCCTGCCCCTACCTGGCCACACCTGAGTGCTCACTGGCCAATCAGGTTAACTAACCACTCCCCTTTGGAAGTGGATTAAAAGCCTGGGGCAGGGTGTGTCTGCCCCTTTCCTGCATTTCCCTTGCCCTGGCCTCTTGCCAGGATGGGGCTGTCTGTAGCCCTGCACCTCCAGGGCCCATGGCCTTTGGGCCACTCTCCCTAGGCTTCCTGGCCTACCTGCCCTAGGCTTCCTGGCCTAGATGCTCTTCTACGTGGCTGGTTCCTGGTGCTCGGTATGAACCCAGATTTACCCCTCTCTCTTACATAAAGCTCTCACTCTCCTCTGCATCTTTCACACTAAATAAAAGCTTAAAATGTACCATGCTGACTTGTTCATTCATGCCGGTATTTAGAATTCTTCTCTAAATATTAGGCAAGAACCCACTCAGACTTACTAATATTGGGGATTTATTAATAAGTGTATGGTGGGGCCGGCGCCATGGTTCACTTGGCTAATCCTCCACCTGCGGCGTCAGCACCCTGGGTTCTCGTCCCGGTCGGTGCACCGGATTCTGTCCTGGTTGCTCCTCTTCCAGTCCAGCTCTCTGCTGTGACCTGGGAAGGCAGTGGAGGATGGCCCAAGTGCTTGGGCCCTGCACCCGCATGGGAGACGAGGAGAAGCACCTGGCTCCTGGCTTCGGATTGGCGCAGTGGCAGCCGAAGTGGACAGTAGGGGAGTGAACCAATGGAAGGAAACCTTTTTCTCTGTCTCTCTCTCTCATTGTCTATAACTCTCTCTGCCTCTCTCTCTCACTGTCTAAATCTGCCTGACCAAACAAACAAGAAAGAGCATATGGTGATATTGTATGGCACCCCAAATACCGATAACATATGTGGCACCCCAAATGGGACTTCTGGGAGAATTCTAAGGGGCCACATTCCGATATATTTTAAAGGGGTTAAATTCCGATATCAGTTCCACAAATGTGTCTCCTTGCCTTTTTGCAATTCCATCTCTGGGTACATTCTATGAGATTCTCTTTTCCTTGCTGTTCTTTCACCTTTCCTTGCCTAGATTTTGCAGTTTTCAGGAGTACAGCAGGTATCAGCTTCTCCAATGAGCCTTTCTTTGTTTAAATTTTATTTATTTATTTGAGAGATAGAATTACAGACAGAGGGGGAGACAGAGAGAGAGAAGTCTTCCATCTGCTGGTTCACTCCACGAATGGTGGAAATGGACTGAGCTGAGCTGATCCAAAGCCAGGAGCAGGAGCTTCTTCTGGGTTTCCCCTGCAGGTGCAGGGGTCCAAGGACTTGAGCCATCTTCTGCTGCTTTCCTAGGCCATAGGAGAGAGCTGCATAGGAAGAGGAGCAGCTGGAACACAAACTGGTACCCATATCAGATGCTGGTGCCACAGGTGGAGGCTTAGCCCACTATGCCACGACACTGGCCCCTGCACAAGCCCCTGCCTGATGAGTCTTTCTAAGTACATCTCCTCCTTAGGGTAGTGTGTTAGGCCCTTCCTCTGTGCCAAGGACTCTTGCCTGGAAACGGTTTCATCTCCTTGATGAAAGGAATGAGTGCCTAAAAGGCATCTGAAGAGGATATGACCTTAAAGTCTACCACACGGGTATATACAAACCTTGGGAAGGATGCGGGGAGAGATAAAGAGAAAGGTCTTCACCCCCTGGTCCAATCTCCAATTGGCTGTAATGCTAGGGCTGCAACAGGCCAAAGCCTCAAGACCAGAATTCCATCAGGGTCTCCCACATGGTCGCAGGGGCCCAAGCACTTGGGCCATCTTCTGCTACTTTCCCAGGTACATTAGCAGGGAACCGGATCAGAGTCTCCGCTGAGACTCAAGCCGATTCTCTGATGGTATGCTGATGGCATAACCTCTTGCACCGTAATGTCTGCCCTTCTTGGGCATTTCTAGTTGTTCTTCTAAAATACATCCTGCCGCGGCTAGACACAATGATTTACCGTATTGACTTTCCTTTAATTATCCTGAGAGTGGCAGACCTTCACGGCACATCACCTGAGGCTCCTGCTATGAGAATAGCATGCTGCTTGTAATTAACAGAGAAGCCTGGTAGCATGTAACATCTGTCTGAAAGACTGTTGATGGATGAACAACGGCATAAAAGACCTAGCATTTTGCTATGAATTGCTTATCAAGTTTGTAATTATAGATCATTTTCAAAGCAAAGAGCTCTAAACAAAAGGATCAATCCTCCCCGCCTCGGCCCTCCTTCCTGAGGCAGGCTGGCTGGAATGCTGTGTCCACCACCATAATCCACAGTGATACTTCTCCCACCTTCCCCTCCCTGTCACGAGTCCTATCATTCTGCCTACAGATTTGAAATAATTGTTATTATTTTAATTATTTGTCAGCTTTTTAGAACAAATAGATCCACTGATGACTTTCATAGGGGTACCAGCAAGATACTATGATCATGAGTCCTCAAATTAATTAATATCCTAACAATGTATTCATTTCCTAGGACTGCCATAATAAAGTGCCAACAACTGGATGACTTTAAAATAACAGAAATTCATTTACTCATTGTTCTGGAAACCAAAAATCCTGAATTAGGTGTCCGTAGGGTCATATTCCCTCTGAAACATATCTTGATGGGAGTAGGAACAGGAATGACTGGACTAGACATTTCAGTAGACAAGGCAAATAAAATTGAAGGCTTATTTCTCAGTCTCAAAGAAAACATAAATGACCTAACACAGCAACTATCTCACTCCAGGATCAGGCGGATTCACTGGCAGCAGTAGTTCTCCAGAACAGCTGGAGACTAGACGTCCCCACAGGCAAGAGAGGTGGACTTTGCCTCTTTTGGGGTGAAGAATATTGCTTTTATACCAATAAATCAGGTATGGTAAGAGATGGGATCGAATGCATAAAAAGACATGCTAACAAAATGTATTCACGGCCAGCGCCATGGTGCAGCAGGTTAAAGCCCTGGCCTGAAGTGCCGGCATCGAATATGTGCGCCGGTTCTAGTCCCAGCTGCTCCTCTTCCAACCCAGCTCTCTGCTCTGGCCTGGGAAAGCAGTGGAAGATAGCCCAAGTCCTTGGGCCCCTGCACCTACGTGGGGGACCCAGAAGAAGCTCCAGGCTCCTGACTTTGGATTGGCACATCTCAGGCTGTTGTGGCCTTCTGGGGAATGAACCAGCAGATGGAAGACCTCTTTCTCTGTCTCTACCTCTCTCTGTAACTCTTTCAAATAAATAAAACAAAAACAAATGTATTCACAAGATAACTCTGCCTCATTTTGGCCGTCGTTTCCAATGGGGGCAATGTCTCTAGTATCTCCTTTTGTCCTCATAATCATAGCGCTCCTATTTCTGCCATGTATAATTAACTTACTCCAAAGGTTCTTGCAGGAACAAATAACTGCTGTTTCTCAAGCCATCTCACAGAAGCAACTACTCTCCTTCAATCAATTCAATCAACCTAATCTTGAGTATAAACACTACCACACCTCAAGTCCTGGCTCCATGTTTATGCCGGGTATTAGCAGGAAGTAGCCAGAGAAATAGGCACCCCTTCTCCTTATCTATACTCAGAGTCAGGATTGATGGAACAATGCCTCAGACATTCTCACCCACTGCCCAAAAGATAGATAAACATTGGAATTTATTCCTTGCCCTTGAATCTCAATTGGTTCTCAAATTCTATTGCCTTTATAACCTCACCCCCACATTCTTTCACAGGTTCCCAAGGCCCGCCATAGCCATCTGAAAGAACAGTTCCATGAATTCCCCTCCACCTGCTACCCCACCCCCACCCCAACCCCAACCCATCTAATATATATAAAGGCCGGCCCCTGGTGGTTGGGCCTTCTTCCATGTGTTCCATCAATGTGCACAAAGCCTGCAGTTGGTCACCCACTTCTACAAATTTATTTCCTCTGAATAAATTCAGTCTAGCTGTAGATTCATACACTGCCTCCTCTCTATTCTGCACCTCTTTTCCTAATATTTTTGGTGTCCCCTGTGAGGAGGCACCAATTCTGGGCCTCTTTTCCTAATAACATATAGGGGAGAATTCTTCCCTACCTCTTCCTAGCTTCTGGTAGGAACCATCAATCTATGGTGCTCCTTGGTTTGCAGCTGTCATCACTCCAATCTCTGTCTCTGTGTTCCATGGCATTTTCCCCAAGTGTCTGTCCAAACTCACCTCTTAAAGTACATCAGTCATACTGGGTTAGAGTCCATCTGACAGACCTCATCTTAACTTGACTACAGCAGTAAAGGCCTATAAGTTCACATTCACACAAACTGGGAGTTAGGACTTAACCATATCATTTTAAAGGACACAAATCAAATCATAACAGATAGGATCCATGCCACCAGATCTCAGGGATAGAGAGAATCCTTTCAAGGACAGGACCTGTAAGAGCATGTGGCTTTTCCATAGATTTATTGACAGCACCCACAGATGTAAAGAAAAGCTTGATCAAAAAGGGAAGAGGCTAGTGATGGATGCAGAGAAAAATCTAAAGTCAGAGACAAAAGTCAGCTGGGTGATGGCACTGGTAGGGCTGCTCCTCCAAGGAGGGTGATTTTCCTATGCTTAACATCTCTTCTGTGTGAACCATAGGACTCATTGCCTGCCCTTGTTTTGATTCCATGCTCAGTGAACAATCACTCAAATTAACTTGCTCTTCAGAGGAATTCCTCTTGTAAGGCAAGAGCAGGGGACGCAACACTCTGCATCAATGTTTTATGAGTCAGGTTGACGGGCTCAATCCGAGAGGCTGCTCCGCTGTGAAGGTGCTGGGCCGATCAGATCTCTGGGCCTGAAAAATCAGGAATCCAAGGATGTGGCAGCAAAGAAGGGCTGCCTCTCCAGAACTGGGGGAGATGCACCGGGCTGTGCTGTGCAGTGGCCTCCTTTACAGCCTGGCCTTTGAACTTACGTCACATACGTTCAGAATCGATCCAGTGTCTGGCAGCTGCAACACTGGAAGCACACACTCTAGAAATAGTGAGAATGATCTCAAATATTATGCATTTCATTGCTCTGTGAATCCAAATCAAGATGCTTCTCAAACAAACATAACAAGTCTGTAGAAAGCTGCAAACTTGAATGAGCGCTGCGTGAGGGAGTGCAGCGTTCTCAGGGACCTTCTTCCCTTCTGAAGCCACCTGCAAGTTCCTGAGAAAGGAACCAAGAGGACACGAGAAATGCAGATGGCTCCATGAGAATGTGAGAAACGCTGCCTCAGCATGAGCCTGTGTCTGATGTCCTTGCACCGTGACAGAGTAGGCACACATCCCTGGCCCGGCGCTGAGGCCTCTGCTTCTGGTTCTCATTCTGCTCTGGGACGGGTCTGTGACTTCCTCCCCTCTCCCCTCATTTTGACTCCTCACTGTGTGCAGGTGCTTCACATGGTGACACCTGCATGCTGCTGCTTCCCTGAACATCCGAAGCCCTTCCTTATCTGGACTTTATTATTATCTGGGCCCCATTTCTTCTTTGTCTTAGGCACACAAAGGCTCTGGGTTCCCCAAGCTACTGCAGCCCGTGAGGAAGGCCACCAACTGGTCTTGTTTACTGGCGCCCTGGCCTGACATTTAGCATACAACACCCAGCTGCCTACTCCATGCTCTGGAAGACAATGTCTTCTACTTTCAGTGCTTCACACAGTCCTGGAGTAGAAAAGTGCCAGGTGCATGATTGTTAGTGGTAGATGGACGATAGACGCTTAGAAGAGGGATCATGATAGGATGTGGTATCACAAGTGGAAGACTGGTGGGGTGTCTGCAAAAGGCACAAAGTGTGACATCCCCATGGAAATTTGCCAAGGCTCAGAATGAAATGACTGAAGTATACAATAGTGAATGTCCATTTATTGGGTCATCTCCTTTCCATGCCTCAGATTAGAAAATATATCTCCTGAGATCAAAACAAAATCCCTCCTCTGCACATTAATGGTTAGACTCAGTATTAAACTTAACCTTGCTGAAAACTCCCCCCACATGCTTGCAGATACCCACACTCAAACTCTATCTTTCACATACTCGTATATGTCCTCAGATCAAGCAAATGCAATTCATCTCGCCTAATACAAACTCTTAACTTTTCTGTTTTTGAGTTTGCAGTTTGTGTCCAGTCAGCCTGATTACAGTCTGAGTTCTCATTTTGGTTACACAATTCCTGGGTTCACTCCCTTAGCTGCTAACACACAATGTTGTACATAGGTTGTCCCAGTTCAACTCTCCGAGCCCAATTTCACTTCCAAGTTCTTGAGTGAAGCACTTGTGTTCCCATGTCTTCCTTAATACCCACTTCTGACTTTTAACAATGGGATAGGGGGTGAGGGAATGAGGGTAGAGGATTGAGGGGGAGTGGGCCCTGCTGTTTCAAGCCCATCTTCCTGAAGACACTTTTTTTTTAACCCACCTTCCCCTACATCTGTGAGCTGACTGTGCCCTTGTGCTCATGAACTGTTCATTTTGGAGCCAGGATTATGTTCAACTTCCTCACTCTCAGCCCTAAGCTCGGTGAATCTGGAGAAGCTCTAGGAATGATGGAGAAATTGGAGGCTGTTCCTTTAAGACACGAATCCGGGAGGTAAGCTGGTGTATTTATCCAAGACGCATCCCTGAGCTACAGTCTGGGGCCCAATTAGCAGTGCGCTAAGCAGGGGTTTTGTTTAGCTTAGCAACCGCCGGAGTGATCCTGAGCCGTCGGGTGTCTCCAGTCCTGCCAAGGCCGCGATCTCCACCCAGGGTCTGCAGCAGCAACGCACTGCCTCCCTAGGCTCCCGGACCCCCAGCCCTCGGGGGTCTGCCGGCACTGGAGCAGAGAAGGTACCGCTCCCGCAGCTGGGGTCGGCGGCACGGGGACCACAGGCTCAGCACTCCTCGGGCCGACCACGCCGTCGAGGAGGCTCAGCCCGAAGCCGTGCGGAGCCGAGCGCCGGGCTGGGGAGAGCATCAGAGGCCTGCCGGGCTCCGCGGTGTGCAGAGACCCTGAGATCTTGGGCCGCCACATCCGGATCCCGGCGGGCGGTGGTGCATGGAGCCCGGCGGCCTAGCTCCGCTTGGTCTTGAGAGTCGGGCAGCATCGAGGACAGTCTTTGTAACGGCCAGGCATGAAGATGGCTGTGTTGGACCTTGGGTCTTTCTTTGCCAAAATCTTCAAGACCTCGACGGCGCCCCCCGCCGTGCCCTCGCCGGTCGCCTCCACCGGGCACTCCGGGGGCGCTGCCGCCGCGGGGTCTGCTGGCTCCGCCTCTGGGACCTCGCTGGGCGCCGTCCAGACGCCGACCCTCTTCCCGGCCCTCGTTCCAGACGCCCCAGCGGTGTCGCGGGGGGCGCCGGCCCAGCTGCACGCTCCGCTGTCAGTATCCTATCCCAGGGTGTTGACTGCGAGCCGCGCGACAGAGGCGGTAGGAACCCCCTTGTCATTGCCCGGTAGCCCCAGAGCGGCCAAAGTCCAGCCCCTGCCCTTACCCGTGCCCCCCACTCCCTCCGGCGGCGGCTGCGGCGTCGCAAGCTCCGCCACCCACCTCGCAGCCCCAGCGCGGCCGCTCTCGGGCCCCGGAGGGGTCTGGACCGCGCTGCCATCGGTCGCGGGCGCAGGGAGCAGCAGCTGTGGGGTCGCGAGCCCAGGGCACTCTCGGCGGCCCCCGGCTCCCAGCGATCGCCAGCCCAACATCGGGATGGCCCCTGGGCCCGGCCCCAAAACCCTGTTCTTCACCCTGCCGGACATCGGCGAGGAGTGGGCCTCGGACGGCGACTCGGAGGACAGCTGCTCCTGCTCGGAGGACGGCCCAGATGGGTGAGTAGCAGCGAGGGCCAGGCCTGCCTGTTTGTTTGTGTGGCCAGGACCCGCAGCCCTCCGCCTTCCCTGTAACCGCATTTGGGGTAACTGCCGCCGACTCCTCGGGGCACCCTCCTTGCACTCTCGCAGTAATTGTATTCCTCGGCTTTCTGATCTTTGAAAAGGCACGACGTACACGCTTGTGCTCATTTCTCAAAGGCAACCTTGGCCATTTACCAGGCGAGGGGAAGGCAGATGCAATCGTATTTCTCCTCGACCCGCAGCAACGGAGCTTTAGCGAGTCTGATTCTTCAAGGACTCGCAAAACAGCCGCCCCATCCCTGTCTTGGCGGCAGAGTGGAGCAGGTGCGCAGGGTGCCCCCCACACGCGTGGGCGGCAATGAGACTGTGCTTCCCCACTTTCCAAGGATCAGCCCCAAGCGGGATGGGTTTCCTGTGTGTGTCCCGCGTCACCTGACACACATGGAACCTGTAATGCTCAGGACGCCACAGGTTATTTACCCTGGAGTCCCTGCGTTCTTCCCGTCGGCCCCGAGTTACTACAGTAACGCTGGCTGACTCGAGGGACCAATTTCAGAGGGAATTGGGGACCACGCTCTCCTCTGACTCCAACCCCCAAACCTTCCCAACACCAACATGAATTTTTAATTTTAATGAACGGAGCATTTTAAAAAGAACTTATTTTATTTGAGAGAAAGAGATAGAAAATCTTCCATCTGCTGCTTCACTCCCTGAATGCTGGGCCAGGACAAAGTCAGGAATCCAGAACTCCATCCGGATCTCCCAGGTGGGGCAGGGGCCCAAGCACTTGAGCCCTCACCTCTGCTTCCCAGGCGCATTAGCAGGGAGTGGAACAGCAAGCAGACTAGCCTGGATTCATAACCCACACGAGGAAGTGGGAGGCAGGCATCTTAAGAGTTGTGTGATTTTCATCCCTCTCAATGTCACAAAAGAGTCAAGGCAGAGCAGAGGAGCCAATTCCTTGGAATCTAGTGAGAGAAGCAGTCAGACCTAACAGCCCTGCCATTTTCATTCCCCACACCCCAAATCCTGCCTGAAAAACCCTGGCATTAAGACTGATTCTAACTCGTTCACAATTTAAATAATTACAGCTTCACAAAATTGCAGCCATTCCTGTCAATGCTAAAGTAACCAGTTAAGGGGTCTGCATTGTGGTAAAACTGCTACCTGAGATACCAGCATCTCATATGGGAGCCAGTTCCTGTCCCGGCTGCTCCACATCTGATCCAGCTCCCTGCTAATGTCCTTGGGCCCCTGCACCCATGTGGAGAACTAGTTGAAGCGCCTGGCTCTTGGCTTGTCCTGGCCCAGTGATGGCCTTTGCAGCCATTTGAGGAGTGCACTAACAGATGGAAGGCCTCTCTGTCTCTCCCTCTCTCTCTGTAACTCTTTCAGAATAAATAAATAAATCTTTTAAAAAGTAATATAAGGCCGGCAATGTGGCTCACTTGGCTAATCCTCTACCTGCAGCGCAGGCACCCCAGGTTCTAGTCCTGGTTGGCGCACCGGGTACTAGTTCCGGTTGCTCCTCTTCCAGTTCAGCTCTCTGCTGTGGCCTGGGAGGGCAGTGGAGGATGGCCCAAGTGCTTGGCTCCTTGTACCCACATGGGAGACTGGGAGGAAGTACCGACTCCTGGCTTTGGATTGGCGCAGCACTGGCCATAGCGGCCATTAGGAGAGTGAACCAATGGAAGGAAGACCTTTCTGTCTCTCTCTTACTGTCTATAACTCTCTCTCTTTCTCTCACTGTCTAACTCTGCCTGGCAAAAATAATAATAATATAAAATAAACTAAGCAGATAAATAATGTTGTTCCCTTTCACTGAAAGCATTCTTTCGAAATAATGTTTATCAAGTTTTTTTCCTTAGGAAAATTAGGTGCATTTGAAAACTAGATAGAAAAGAATGCCTAAGGAAGTAGGCAAGTAGGCTTTTGTTATTGGCAACCGGTCCTCAACATTGACGCCATTAATGTTTGATGAGCAAACAGATCTACACACTGACCTTCGGCTCTGCTCTTGGTGCTTTTAGCAAACAGATGCCGGAATAAGCCGCAGGAGCAGTCAACACCAGTATTAGTCTCGGTTCTTAAACATGTTATCCCACGCTTATATTGGCTCAACATTGGTAAAAGATAATTGTTAAATAGCAATGTAGTTGGTATTATTTACAGAATGCATTAGCAAATGCATACAGTTTTACTGAGAGTGAAAAATCCGACTTTTAGATAATTGCAGTTCCAAATACGGTGCATTGAGATGCTCTTTCAGGAAACCTTGTGATTATGTGTGCTTCCACTCTCTGGAGCAGTAGGAGAAGGCTTGGACAGAGCATACCCTTGTTGTTTTTAGTGACAACATATTTCCTTTTTCTCATAATGGCCCATTCTTTTCCTAACCATTGAAATGTAGAAAGGGGCAAAGGGGGAAGAAGAAAAAGATCAAGCTGATTTTTCCTACAGTTCTATGGACCTAGTGCACCTTGAAGTGTATTTTTTGCCTCCTGGATTTTTGTAATGGCTATTTATGACTTTGAATAACCCAACACCACAGAACTGCAAACTTAAATGATCTATCATCTCTTCTGACAGCAGATAACTATTGCTGTACACCAGCTTGGTTAATATTAAAATCTTATATGTTATTTTCAAAAGCCTGGGAACATGGGAGGGGGGGAGAAATGGAGAGAGAGGGAGAGAGGGAGAGAGGGAGAGAAGGAGAGAGGGAGAGGGGAGAGAGAGAGAGAGAGAGAGAGAGAGATTCTGGGCCTGTTGGCTAAGATCAAGTGGGAAAGAGAAAGAGAGAGAATGAGACTGAATGTAGTAGTAGGAAAAATGATTAAAGAAAATGTGAATACATGTAAAACAAATGTAAACATATCCTTGAGAAACACAGATACAGTTTTAAGAGTAGTTCAGCCTACTTAAAAAGGAAAATCCTAATATAAAATTTACATATATTTTTAAAACAATCCACATGTTTTACATTTGACCTGATGCTATATTTGACTTTTATTAAAAATAAAAATACTGAAATGAATTTGAGTGGGAAAATATGCAAGCTCATTTATTTCAGACTCCCTTCTTGCCAACCCATCCCCCCAGGAGTGATGCATGAGTTTTGCTCTCTGAGCCACAGATTCAATGAAGACTTGCCCTTTTCATCCTGCAAGATGTAGCAACTGCTACATCTGAGCCACAGGTGGACAATGTTGTTTTCTTTCTGAACTTCACTGTCTTACCCCCTCCCTTACCCAGATATGTGATCCAACACTTTATCTGCACCTTCACTTATGCATTTTAATTATACAGTATACTTTATTTACACTGTTTTCCAGTCTCATTCAACTCTCTTCAGTGCCTTTTTTGCACTTCTGGTTGAAGCCATGCAATAATCACCTTGTAAAGGTATTATTCTTTATTCTGCAAATAGAATTCCTCGGAGTAGATAGGTAGGAAGGTACATAGATAACTAATTGCTGCATAGGAATGATGTCAGATTGGAAACTTCATATGATCAGTAACTATTTATATCTTATGTAAGTTATCACCATCAGCATACCTGAATTCCTTTTTTGAGTGATAGAGGTTCCACTGTTAAAGTTATGTTAGTGTGGACATATAGGACTTGTAAACATGGCTGGTAATAAAATGATATGGGGGAACCAGCATTGCAGTACAGCAAGTTAAGCCACCACCTCTAACACCCACATCCCATATTAGAGCCGACCTAGCTCCCTTCTAATGTGCCTGGGAAAGCAGAGGAAGATGATGCAAGTACTTGAGCCACTGCCACCCATGTGGGAGACCTGGAAGGAGTTCCTGACTCCTGGCTTTAGTCTGGCCCTGCCCTGGCCTGTGCTGCTATTTGGGGAGTAAATCAGCAGACAGAAGATTTCTTTCTGTCTTTGTTTCTCCTTCTCTTTCTGTCACTCTGCCTTTCAAATAAATAAAAATAATTCTTTAAAACAAAAAAAAAAAACAAGCAAAAATAAGGTGATTTGAGAAGATTCATATCTCAATTTTGATCTGCCACTGAGGCAGCCTAATGTTGGGTGACACCTGTGGACCCAGACTTCAGTTTCAAATCGTTGGCTAGCTGAGTAATTTTGCAAGTCATTCATCCTTCCCAAGCTGTAATGTTTCCTCCTTGATAAAATGAAAATGATAATCATACTTTCCACTCAAGGTGTTCCAAATATTAACTGAAATAATATTAAGGGCCTCATACACAGAGAGAAATGATGGGAGAAAGAAAAGTTTTCTTTTTTTAAAAAAAGATGTTTACATACAATTTCCATGCTTCTGAGTTCAAAATCTGGTCATTCTGATAGTTCAGTGTTACTACAAGTAAACAGGACAGGTATTTGAAAAGGGAATATTGCTATTCCAGATTTTTCTGTCTCTTTATAAAATTATATACATATATAACTATATATCCACATTTGTATATACAGATATCAATAATTATCTATATATGTGCATATATGGACACAGTATATATAGACAGATATGCTTTTCAACTAAGTAAGATTAGAAAGTAAATAAAAACTAAATATGTCTAAGGCCACAAAAATAGCAAGAAACTCTCATCTTCAAACGAAATAATCAATTATAGATAGCTGTACACACACATACATATACATATACGTATACATATGCATATGCATACACATACACACACACACATAAATGAAGGATTGTGAGTCTTTGCTGGTGGCATCTCAGAAACTTTTTATTTTCTCTCAGTACTTTTTCTCTAATGGCAGCTCAGGCCCTCAACTTGCCGTTTGCCATATGTGCTGGCTGTCCTACACCTTGAACCATGTCTTTTTCACTGTATAAATGTAGTAGGAGGACACCTGTCATGCCCACATGCTTGACCTCAGCTCTTGGGGAGGGAAGCAGCCCCAGGAGTTCATCAAACATAGAGCAAGGTTGCTCCTTTTCTATAGCTGACCAGAGAGAGCTTGGAATCC